TCTGCACCTCGTGGTCAGTCAGGCTGGTGTGCTTCTTCCATGTGGGGGTTCTTTTTTTACGTGGATAATCCAGTGGCATTTATTGCACTCTTCCGGTCTATCCTTTTCCAAATAATTCCAAAGTCATTAATTGAAACTCAAAGTCTCCCAAACAAAACTCCTCCTTACCCTTAATAATCTGGTAACCACTAATAATTTTGGTTTCTGTACATTTACTTATTTCACATAAGTAAAATTATACAGTATCTGTGCCTTTGCAACTGACTTGTTTCTTTCAGTAGCCCCTGGGTGGTGAAATCAGCCAAGGGCTCCACCCTTAGCCCAGTGGTTAGCAGTTTAAATTCACAGCCTTGAAAACGCTGTGGAGCCATTCTGCTCGACACACTGAGTATCCCAGACTCAGAATCAGCTTGATGGCAGTAATGATAGCAATGCTTTCTAGGTTCACCCATGCTGCGGCATGCTGCTGTAGCTGTAAAAATGTGAAATATAATCAGTCTACCAAAAACAAAAGAAAAAAAATACTAACCCACTGACATTGAGTTGATTCTCATAGCAAACCCACACGACAAAGTAAAATTACTCCTGTGGGTTTCTGAGACATTTTATTTTTATTCTTTTATTAATAAATCATTTTATTGGGTGCTCTTACATATATTATAACAGTCCACAAATCAATTATATCAAGAGAACTTATACAGATATTGCCATCATCAATTTCAAAACCCTTTCTTCTTGATCACTTTAATTTCAGCTCCTCTTTATTCCCTCTTTCCCCTGCCCTACCACCCTCGTGAACCCTTAATATATTATATATTATAAAATGGCTTGTATTAGTCTGGGTAGACTAGAGAAACAAATTCATAGACACTCATGTGTATAGGAACCAGCTTTATATAAAGAGTAATTGTACATTGAAAAAACATCCCAGCCCAGTCCAGATCAAGTCCATAAGCCTAATATTAGCCTATATGTCCAGTGCCAGTCTGTAAATTGCTCTTCAGACTCACGCAACACATGCAATGATGCCAACTGCAGGAAAATCACAGGCCAGTGAGTGGAAAGTCTTGTGGATCCCGTAGCAGTGGAAGCATCTTAGCACTGGCGTGTGTCTCCACATGGCTCCTCCAGCTCCAAGGCTCTGGCTGCCATCAGCATAGCTCCATGTGGCTTGTCAATAGGAATGTCTCCCAGGGAGTGAGTGTGTGTCCCATCTCCAGCGAGCTGTTGATCTTAGCACCTCCAAAAGAGGTCATCAAGCAGCAACCTGACTGACAGGCTAAACTCCACCCCTTCACACTTAATAGTCTCAAGTTGACAATAGATTATGTAACTACCACATGGCTCTTTTTTTTCCCCCTTTTAATCATTTTATTAAGGGCTCTTACAACTCTTATCACAATCCATACATACATCAATTGTATAAAGCACATTTGTACATTCATCACCCTCATTCTCAAAACATTTGCTCTCCATGTAAGCCCCTGGTATCAGCTCCTCATTTTTCACTCCTCCTTCCCCGCTCCCCGCTCCCCGCTCCCTCATGAACCCTTGATAATTTATAAATTATTATTTTGTTATATCTGAAACTGTCTGTCTCCCTTCACCCACTTTTCTGTTGTCTGTCCCCCAGAGAGGAGGTTAGATGTAGATCCTTATAATCGGTTCCCCCTTTCTACTCCACCCTCCTGGTATTTCCACTCTCACCACGGGTCCTGAAGGGATCATCCGCCCTGGATTCCCTGTGTTTCCAGTTGCTATCTGTACCAGTGTACATCCTCTGGTTTAGCCAGATTTGTAAGATAGAATTGGGATCATGATAGTGGGGGGAAGGAAGCATTTGGGAACTAGAGGAAAGTTGTAAGTTTCATCATTGCTACACTGCACGCTGACTGGCTCGTCTCCCTGAGACCTTTCTGTAATGGATGTTCAGTTGCCTATAGATGGGCTTTGGGTCCCCACTCCGCACTGCCCCTCATTCACAATAAGATTTTTTGTTCTTTGATGCTTGATACCTCATCCCTTCGACACCTCGTGATAACACAGGCTAGTGTGCTTCTTCCACCACATGGCTCTTTCTAACATCTTGAAAAGTTAAGTGAAATTTCTGTGTATGCATTTAGAAGTATACTAGACAAGTCAGACAATCTAAGACAATTTGGAACTGAGAACAACTTGGTGAGAGGGCAAGATTGTGTAGGCTTAATAAAAAACAGGTTTTAAAAAAAGAAAAGAAAAAACAGGTTAACGTTAAAATGACCAGAATCCAAACAAATCTGGAAAAAAAACATGAGTGATAAATCTCTCCCTCACACAGGAACATACTGTCACTGATTTTCTCTTGGAAAACAGCCTGAAATATTTCCAGGTGAAATAGCTTCCCTGATCTGTCCAAGGACCCTCATCTGATCATCTTAAGAGTCAGAGCCATCTCATATCCAATAGGCTGGCTTGAATTGGAGAGTGCCGTGACAGGAAATGGTAGTTTTCTGTGCTATTGAAGGGTCAAGCATATCCGCATCATGTAAGCCTTGTGTGGAGCCCTGTTGGTACTGTGAGAGAAGCACATGGCTACTGACTATAAAGTCAACAGTTCAAACGCACCAGCTACTCTGAGGGAGAAAGATAAAGCTGTCTGCTTCTGTAAAGATTGAGTCTTTGAAACTTTATTGGTCACTGTGAATTGGAATCAATTTAGTGGCAGTCTATTTTTTTGCAACAGTTGTAATGATCATCTCACTGAAAGATATTTTTGAGTACATCATAAAGCTACTGATCATGTGATGAATGATTACTGTGGGTACCTATTTTCATTCCTAGGTAGGCACCATGCATTTTTTCAGCTAATGAAAATGATTACAGTGTTTTCAGAGCATGCATCTAAATTTTTCTATAATTATGATTTGTATCATAATTTGCGTTCTATTAAGATTTCTTATATTTGAATCATGTAGAATTTAAAATGTTTACATTTTTTATTGTCTTCTCAATGATTTAATTAGATCCTCAAAAGCTTTGTGAGTTAATGTCGCATTTGAACTCCATTGTGTTTTCACTATACAGTGGTGAATTTGTGATTCTTACTGATCTTTTTACAGGCGAATATTGTCCATTTTTTGCAAGTATGGTCTAAAATTGTGTTCCTTTGCATGTAGCTCCAGCAGTCTTCATATGTGTCTATAGCAAGCAACTCCAACTTTACGGGAACTCCTGGTATTCAGACACAGGCAAGACTTCCATTCAATGGGTGAGTGTTTTGAAAACGTGTAAGTTAACTT